GACTTGCGAAAACAGTTTTTTCATTCCCAAAACACCCATTCCACTCAAGCCAATCAATTCCTCTCTAGACAATTTGAAAAAGAAAATAAAACGGCCGAAATCATGAAGTTGCAGGCAGATTTGTGAGTTTTTTTTAAGAAAAAGGATTGAGTATTTGTTTACAAAGTTTGAAGTAAAGTTTTTCGAAGAAATTCAGAAATCGAACGATGAATCTCTTGGATCCGGGTGGATGGTCGTATTTGGCAATAACCGCTTCTTGGTACAAGGTTTGGTGCAGGTTGTGAACCAGGACTATCTTCATCTCAAGGCTTTTGATCAATGGAAAACATGGATGAAGTCGTGGCATATGTCAAAAGGGCATATGTGCGAGTCAAAAGGGCCATTTGGTCACAATTCACAGTCAGGAAGAGAACCATTTTGTTCAGAAACTCGGTAAGAAATCGAAAGGATTCAATTCTGAAAATTTATGATTTTCACAGAAATTTATGCTTTATAAACCAAAAACAACCGATATTAATTTCAGCGAGAACTGTTCGGTGGCATAGTAGTTTCTGGATCGGACTGAAGGTTGAATTTTTCTTTTTGAAAGACATAAATACATAAAAAGTAATGATCCTTTCAGCCATTTTGTGAAAAAATGAGCCCTTTGACTTATAGTTCTTTGATAGAAATAATGCTTTCAATTGGGAAACTAGAATAATTTCAATAATAAGAAAAGAAAATCGGATCGAAATAACAAGGTCTAAACATAAAAATTTCTTTATTCAGAGAAATCCGAACAGAGAAGATGCTTTTGAATAGACGGATGGAAGCTCGGCGGATTTCACGAATTGGAGGGTGGAAGAGCCGGATTCGTACACCCACGCTGCGGTGAGATTCTCAACGTGAAATCATCAATATTTATTCCAATTTGCAATGCATAATTAATCCAAAAATATTTGGATCAATCTTAGGAGATTTATTTGTGTAAAATAACGGAGAATGTTTTATCAAAGGATTTCCATCAGAAATGAATACATTTCAGCTTTGGAGCGGCCATGGGAAATGGGGAGCCTATGCTCCTACCAATCTGTATCGTTTTATCTGCAAAATGAGCTCTCAATTCTGATAAATTCCTTATGTTCTTTTCTGTGGACAAAAGCCAATAAATCCCATTTCATTCAATCTTCTGAAAACACACAACTGCACATTATCTTTTTCTTTATTTCTGAATTGTTTGTTCAAGAGCTCATGAAAAGTTTTCCCAAAAATCCAGAATTCCGCCTGAAGCTGCAAGTATTTTGCTCTCTCGTCCCTCCTGAATAGACTATTAGATGCCCGTTAGTGATGTTAAACTGAAAGTATGGATTGCATTCGAAATTCCCCATTCATTTGCCTCGTGATGTTCTCGGCGACGTTTGCGAAGAATGACGTGTAGCTAAGCGAATTTCTTTGTCCAAATCCAAAATCTCTTTGAGCACGAGTAGCGAGTGAAGAGGTCCGGCGAAAGAGATGCTGTTGGATAATCGCTTTGAGTTTAACAAGGATTTCTTTTCAATCAAAGGAGTCCCTGTTAGTCCAAATTAATTAGAATAATGGCATAGATCGAAAGCTCGGCGTTCCGTGGTTCGATCGAGAGGCGATCAATTTTTTATCATTTTGCAGATTAGCTCAAGGGCCTAGATTAGGAACAAAACAGAGCAAAGTTTTGATGGAGATCACAAAGAGAGAAACCCGTGTGGGCTTGAATGAAAACTTCATTATTTGGTAATTATTAAATGATCGTAATGAAGAGAGATGCTTTCAAACAATGATCATCAATCACTTTCTTTAGAAGTCGCCACTCTTGATGTATCCCGAATCGACGCTGTGCTCGCCGTGTACGATTCGATTTGATATCGAAATGTTGCCAGTGGGTCAAGAACGCGGAAGGCATTTCCACTAGTTGATCTCTCGACGTGTCAACCCACTTGAATGGGGAAGCGCGGAACTGATTTTCTCCGACACCCACGTCGAAATGATGCTAAATGGTTTGGATCTGATCTAGATAGACTCTCTCCCAACCTTCATAAAAACCGAGTTTTGAGGATTATCCCTCAGTGTTTGGAGAACTCTGGCTTCGATCCTTGCGATGGGTCCTTGATTCAACTGATGCCAAAACGAGCATGTCAAGATTAATTTCACTGACCGGTCCATCTTGGGAGAAAATGTTGTGGACCTTTCCCGAGCCTCCTTCGACTCTCCGTCGAATGTGACCCCTTTGATCGCCGGGTCATTTCTCCGGGTACAACAGATCTCGAGTGGATCTAAATTTGATATCGTTGTAGCTACGTAGAATTTGTATGTATGTATGGATCCTACGATCTCCAGCCTTTCACGAGTCTCCGGACCAGCCAGCGGGCAAAGCGAACGAGAGTGTGCTTTGCCCCCTGGTTAAAAGCATTGGAGAACTCACTTAAGCGGTGCTTGTTCCCGTGTTCCCAAGTCCGAATGTCGATAGAGGTGCTCGGACTTGACGGCATCACAACAGGACGACCATCCGCTTTGAATCCGAAGCCCTCAATGCGATCGTCACTATGTCCGGAACCGGGTAGACGACTAGATTGAATAGACGGGCTAACGCCTTCCAACATTCAAACAAGCCTCACGTATCGATATCTAGGCTTTCTGTGAGTTTTGGGTTTTTGAGACAGTTTCTTCAAAGCACTCACTCACTTCACTGAACCTTCTCAGATTGACTTTTAAAGGCATTAAGACACTAACTGCCCATGATAGATTCCCTTATCCGGAATGGGCAATTGGAAGGGTTTCGGCTGACTGAAATTGAGTGTTTTGAGTGACTTCAATTGACTAAAAAACCTGGGTTTGCTTTCGAGTGCTGGAACTTTGGCCGGATGATTCACCCTACCCCGCAGCACACTGATTCGGCACACCACCACTGAAAAATCAGAATACAGAATTCATTTAATTCAAACCAGTAGAAAAAAATTAAAAAGTTCATTCTGAAAATATTCTCCTTTTCATAAAGATACTGAGATTTATAATCTTTCGATAATGACTCTGAGTCTGTTACCACGTTCTCGTTTCAATTCCGCGGAAATTCAGCGCCAGATTGAAGAAAACGATTCGAAAGGAAACGCGTTCACAGCGCACGCATGTTAGGACGAAATTCAAAGATAAGGGGTGTTTTTTACTCAGTTACTCAAAAGCTCAGTTACCAGTTTTTTCCACAGTTTTTTCCTCAATTCAAAGCAGTAGACCAATCAGAGGCGAGTGGGAGACGAAAATTGAATTCTCACGAGAATTACCAAATTTTCAATCTCAAAAATGCGTGGAATTGTAAAGAAAGGCATTCCGCAATTGTGGAAATGGTCTTGCTAAGGATATGGGGAAAAATTTCAAGATATCATCCTCATTTTGTTGTTAGGATTTGTTTTGATGGGTAAGTCGAAATTGAAAAATTACAAAGCAAAACAAATTTAAGGCACTTGCTTTTTGATGTATTTTTTCTGGGAAGTTGGGCAGTGTTTGCTGAAAAAACCGATTGGTATTCGGCACAACTTTGACGAGAATGTCTGACAGTACTTGAGAATCCGACAGCTGTGGTAAGGTCTTTGAAAGTGAAAGTGTAACTGCTAACATGTTTAGACAAGAAAACTTTCAGACATTTCTAGGAATTGACTCTGTCTAGCCAGTCCATAACTTTCAAAAGAAGGCCTTGCTGGGTTTAATGTTAGTGTTGACTTTAGTTTTAACAGCCAGCTTTCATCAAGATGCACGCCAGTATCAAGATCAATGACAGGTTTTAAAATAAAACTAGTCGATTTTGATTCCTGGCTTCCTATTCGAATCTATTTGAATAGCGTAAAACCCTGACAAAAGTTAAAAGCCCACTTGGCAAACCGAAAAACAGGACAGTTATTGGTTTAATTAACTTTTGTATACTAGTACTTTCAAAGATGAGTCCTGGTAGCTATCACTTAGTTCAAGTTGAGTTTAAGTTCAGTTCAAGTCCAAGTTTAATTTGAAACACAAAATCGTGACTATCTCGAAATGCAGGATGAAAAGTTCTATTCAATCGTCAATTTTCCATCGACGCGTAGCACAAAATACGAACAATTTGATTGATCGGCGTCAATATCGAAAACAAAACAGAAAAAACCGAGAGCAAGTGCGAGCGAGTACCGAATTGGTTACACAGCTTTGCTCAAGCTTAATACTTCCTTAAAGAACCTGTGAACATGTACCAGTCCAATATAGACTATTTTAAATGAATCTCGTCATTTCGAGTCAAGAAATGGGTGAATGGTTTCTTTTCCTTTGTTTTGGCATGAAAAAGACCACAAAGCAGTGGATATCTAATTCGAGTAAGATTACAAAAATGATGCATAGACTTTTCATTTAATTCTCCAGAATATCGCTACATTTAAAGTAACCCTCCCATCGGCTAAAGTTTCTCTGCCGGAATAGTGAATTCGATCATTTTGAACCTCCAGTCGTCTTTTGTCCTTTCAATGGCCATTCTTTTCTATCGAAATCAACCGGGCAAAATGAATGAGCCACTTAGCTTATAAAGATTTTTGTGCTTTTCTATGAACTTTGAAATTGAATCTTCAGCAAAAATAATGATACTTTAAATTTTTCCATCATAAATTTATTCGACCATACAATATATCACAGTTACTTTATAGTGAACGAACATTACACAAATCAGGCAATTTTTGAAAGTAGGAGATAATTTATCAAGTTTAAGAAGAAGATTGAGAAGTTGGCAGACTTAGGAGATTTTAATATAAAGTAGTTTAAGCGCTAGAATTCCAATGGTTACTGATTTGGTAAAATTGATTCAATTTGGAATAAACCTTTCTAAAAATGTCTAATCAATCACTGAAAGAATCGAATCAATCAAAATCAAAAACTGACGAAAACCAACGATAATGTGCAGTTGTGTGTTTTCCGAAGATTGAATAAAATGGGATTTATTGATTCTGGCCATAGAAAGGAACATAAGATATTGATCAGAATTGAGAGCTCCTTTTGCAGATAAAAGCTGCATGATAGGTAGGAGGTAACTGAGCCCATTTCCCAGTGTGGCTATTAAACTGAAATGCGTTCATTTCTGATGGAAATCCTTTGATAAAACAATTTGCGCTATTTCATTAAAAGAAATTTCCGCAGATTGATCGAAATATTTTTGGATTAATTATGCATCGCAAATTGGAATAAATGTTGATGATTTCACGTTGAAAATCTCACCAAAGCGTGGGCTCTCGAATCCGGCTCTCCCAGATACCAATTCGTGAAATTCACCGAACTTCCATCCATCCATTCAAAAGCATTTCCTTTGTTCGGATTTCTCTGAATAAAGAAATTTTTATGTTTCACTATTGCTATTTCAACCATATTTTTTTCCATTTTAAAACTATTCTAATTTCTCAATTCAAAATAGATTTCTATAAATTTCTATCATTTCAGATTTCTGTCAAAGAACTATCAGTTAAACGAATCATTTTTTCACAGAGCGCCTTCTGACAATGGCTGAAAGAATCATTACTTTCTATATACTTATTTATGTCTTTCAATAAGAAAAATTCAACCTTCAGTCCGATCCAGAACGCCCAATTCGAAGGAACAGTTTTCACTGAAATAAATCTCGGTTGTTCTTAGTTTATAAAGCATAAATTTCTACGAAAATCATGGATTTACAGAATTGAATCATTTGGATTTCTTACCGAGTTTCCAAACAAAATCGTTCTCTTCCTGACTGTGAATGGAGACTAAGCGGCTCCTTCGACTCGCACAATATGCCTCGGCTTCATCAAATGCCATTTCTTGACCGATAACCTGGGGACGAGATCATTTGGGTTCACAACATCCACCAAACCTTGTACCAAGAATCGGTTTTTGCCAAATACGACCATCTCTCCAGATCCAAGAGATCCAAGAAAGTCATCGTTTGATTTCTGAATTTCTTTGAAAAACTTTAATCCAGGTTTTTTTAGAAAAATACTCAATCCTTTTCCTTAAAAAAACTCACAAATCTGCCTGCAACTTCGCGATTTCGACCGTTTTGATTCTTTCAATTTCCCCTTCGAGCTCTCCAATCTTGGCCTTTCCGTCTCTCTCTTCCGTATTTTGAGTTTTTCTAAAAAAAGTTCGAATTTTATCTATACTTTAGTTTGAGCCTGCCTAAAAGGAAATTACAAAATTAGTACAATTGTGCTTCGAGATCTTCGTTTTTCTTTATCGTCTCGGCGATTTTCGTTTCCAATTCTCGATTTCTCTCCCTTTCGTCAATCAAATCAGCCTCCAACTTCGCGATTTTCCCCATTAGATACGCCTGGTTTTGGGAAATTTTTGCTGCCAATTGACTCATCTCCTTTTTTATTTCTTCCCTAAACTCTTCAATTAAATCAAAGACTGTTTTTGATAGAAGCAAAGATTTGGCGAAAAACTCACAAATCGGCTTGGCGTTGGGGATTCGAGCGATTGTCCATTTCGGTTGCTAGACGATTGAATGCCTACAAAGTAAGTGAATTTTTTGCCGAAGAACAAGTGAAAAATAAAGGAAAAGGCTACTAAATAAGCAGAATTGATGAGAAAAGATAAAATCAAACAAGAAATTTTTTGCCAAGCAATATAGGGATTTCTTATATATATATATATGCTTAACTCACGGGGCGAATAGAAGCGAATCTGATAATAATAACCGCATATAACATATTGCTACAATACTTTCACAAAAAAAGAAAGAAAACTACAAATAGTACAGTAAGGTTACAGTTAGGAAACACAGGTACAAAAAGATTAAATATAGGGCAGATTTGACATGGCAATAAGATCTAATTCGTTTACAGATACTTTGAATTTTCCTACAGACGAAAAGATACCAGACGGGAGCTTATTCCAAACCCTACTAATACGGTTCGCAAAAGAATAATAAAGGGAAAGATGATGAGGATGGGAACCGACCGAAATTCGATAAGGATGACTACGTGTACTTCTAGGAATTTCCACAACTTTCAAGAGGCTTTGAAATTCTGGATGCGACTTAGGGTGGGAAAGGATTTTATAGCAAAAATAAGATCAAAGTAAATACGGCGATATAAAAGGGGTTTTAAATCAAAAACTATAAGTCTAGTCTCATAATTCGGAATAAGAGAAGAAGGGAAACAACGAGTGTATGCTTTTTTAGTGAAACGTCATTGGACATTTTCCACCAAGGTGATAAGTTTCTTAATGGAAGGTGACCATACGATGGTGGCATACTCGAGCAAAGGCCGGCAATAAAAGCCCTGCGATAAGTCGCGATTTTAGGGAAACAAATGGCGCGAAGCATTATGTTAGAAATTCTAGAGGCTTTTTTGGAAATGTAGTTTATGCGAGGATCAAATTTTAGAAAGGGAACTAACGGTATACCAAGATCTTTTACAGGATCATCGGCCAATCCTTGTGGTAATTGTAGGTCCCCCAAATTTAAAGGGATATGTAATGAACCAAATGCAACGTGTTTGCATTTGTCCGGCGCAATGTTAAGTTTCCGGAATTTACTCCACAGAAGGATCAAATTAAGATCCTTCTGGAGAAGGGTAAAATCAGGGATGAGGCTCTGGGACGGAAGTACCCTATAAATTTTAAGGTCATCGGCGTAGAGTCGGACTTTTGTGCCTAGGAATATCGAACTGTTAATGTCATTAATATAAATAGGATCAAGAACGCTCCCTTGGGGCACTCCACTACTAATGGGGAAGTCCTACGAAAAAGTCGAGCCTAAGCGGACGCGAAAAGTCCTTTCGGTAAGCCAATTTGCAATCCAATTAGTGATGGATATGGGGACACCTAGTCAATTTAGTTTGGCGATTAAAAATCTATGATTAACCGAATCGAATGCTTTGGAAAAATCAATGAAAACGCTGCTAGTTTGGTCGTTTTTGGCTTTAGCTAGAAGCCAGTCATGCGCACAGAGAACTAGCTGGTCGGAGGTAGAGCTATTTTAAGAAAGCCGAATTGATTTTTATCAATTAGATTATGTTCATTTAGATAATGAATAATGTGGTCGCGAATAATTATTTCTAAGACTTTACAAATGGAGGAGGTGAGCGCGATGGGTCTATAATTTGCAAGCGCGTTCCGCTCTCCTTTCTTAAAAAGTGGCGAAATTGTTGAGTCTTTCCAAAATTTAGGGATCTTAGCCGTCAGAAGTGACAGATTAAAAAGTTTAGCAAGTAGTGGTGATATTTGAAACTTAGTTTTCCGTATAACAAAAGAGGGTATTCCGTCTGGGGTGCAAGAAGGCTTATTGCTAAGCTTACTAATTGCTGTTTCTACAAGTCTTGGTGTGACGATTAGGGTCGCGCAAGTATGTGCTGGGGCGGGAAGAGCAGGGATGCAACTACCATCGTCAACTACAAAAACGCTGGAGAAATATTGAGCAAAGGAATTAGCAATTTTGTGATTTTCGAAAATCAACGAGTTGCGAAGAGGGTCAAATATGCATTTAATAGAGGAATCGTGGTTTGGGTTAATCTTAGAATAGATGTATGAGTAAAAAGCCTTGGGACTAGGACTAAAAACGGATTTCCGTTCAATATTGGCCTCGAATTTCTTCACAAACTTAGTTAGCTTGTTTTCTAGATATGCGTAATGGAGGGAATCGCGATAACGCCAAGCTGTTTCTAACCTTTGCCTAGCTCGAGATATGTGACTGGGGGTAAGAAAAGGTAGACCTGGTTGAAATAGGTACATTTTCGTCCAACAGCGATTTCATCTCTTCAAAGAAGTCGGCATAACACTCGTTGACGTCCATCTCTAGCCGGGGAAGAAACCTTGCATTGTAGAGCGCTAAAGAAAGACAGACAGCACCGAAATTACCTCTCCAAAAGGCACGGTTACCATCATCCGGTCCTTTTAGAGAGGTAAAATGATGCAGAATTAAATTAAAAGAAATAGAAAAATGGTCGGCACCACGAATGGGAGGACATGATGAAATAGCTGAAATTAAATGAGGGGAATCGGTTAAAAATAGGTCTAAAATATGGGAACTTTTCCTGAAAGTAGGAAATTTGTTTAAAATTTCTAAGTTGGCTGACAGGAAATTTTCTAAATGCGGAAAACGCGATAAATTAGGTAAAAGTCCTGAAGAAACAGTTAAAGGAAAATTAAAATCGCCAAGAAGGAAATTTGGATGATTTGGTAGCAAGTAATCTTCAAGAAATGTAAAAAGATGGAAAGAGCCCTGGTTGTTAACATGTGGGGGACGATAAACAATAAAGATATGCGAGGGGGAATCTGAATGAGCGAATATATCAACAATGATTATCTCGCAACCTGAGACTGATTGATTAGTAACAGGGATAAAGTTATAAGAACGGCGAATGAATAGGATAACACCACCACCTCGAACTTTGATATCATGAAAGGTCACAACGAATTATGGAATAGCTAAAGGCGGGGTTTAAGATAGAAGATGGAGTGTTTTCATTCAGCCAAGTCTCACAAAAGGCAAAAACATAAGAGAGAGATCTGGACAAAAATTGTACACAGCTAAGACGTTTTTGTGAAATTAATGAGTGAACATTTGCAAAGAGAAACGAAACAGACGTTATGGGGGGATGAGCTTATCCTGGAGTGAGAGGGTCGATTTCTAGAGGGAGTGGCGAGTCTTGTGATTCTATCCTGGTAAATTTTGCTGCTGGGCTCGTGTTCGGCGTGTTCGTGGTAGGCAACTTTGCGATGATCGCTCCTTCGGTCCCATTTCTGGATACAAGTTTGCGCTTCACAAAAGATTGGGGAGAAGAGTCCGATCCGATGCAATTGTCATGGCCCCGATATCGATTCCGTCACCTTTGACGGTCTCTCTCATCTTGACAATCGACTTTCCACCTTTCCCATCGTCAAATAGCCATTCAATTTCGAGTCCTTGTTCCCATTCGCATTCGGTCACTTCAATGATGTCCTCATTTCTCGGCTCGACGTATGTTCTCCAGAAAAAGCAAGCACTTGCAAATGTCAGGCACCCGCAACCGGGCCCCGAACACTCCTCTCGGCATCGAGTCCAGGTCGGCCGTTGAGGTCCTTGAACTCGTCCAGCTCCGTTTCTGGCTCAACTTTCGACCATCGTGTCCCCGTGCACCTTCCCATTCTACGGCATCTTCTCGAGTAGATCGTTTTCAACCTGACGTTCCGAGTGTAGTCTCGTCGAGTAGGCGAACAACGGTAGTACGGCGTCACAAAAACTTTTAAAGTCGTCCTTTTAAAGCCGTACTTTATCCCCGGGTCGGCCCTCGTGATCTCTGAGCACAATACACGCCTCTTCATGTCCTCTTAAGGTCATCATTGTCGTATCGTCGAATGTGCACGATACCATCCCGTTACACTTTTGCGAAAACAAACGAAAGGACAAGAACCTTGTCGGAAAGTGAAATCCGATTATTCGTCTGCCCAAACAAAGAGAATGCTGCGGGACTGACAAAGGAGTGCCGACTCGACTCGAAGCAAATTGATTGCCGTCAAGCGGATGACCGGATGTTGTGCGAGAGTCGCGGTAACGATTTTCTGGTCGACGAGTCGAGAGTTCTGCCACAATTGATTGGAGAGAATCTGTACAAGGAGACGGACGGCGAGGTCAAAGTGCAAGCCAAAGGCTCATCCACCACTCAAGTCAAGGTCAATGGATTGAATGCTCAGACACAAGTGGATGTGTTGGCGTGCCATTTGATGGAAAGTGAGCTGACCGGCTGCTTTGCGTGTGAGACTGGGGTCAGTCTGAAGTACCTTTGTCGTTCCGGATTCGGTAAACAACTGACCGAATTGCAATGTGGAACGATCTCGGCGGTACTCCAATGCGATGGCACCCAGCAGAAACGAGTGATTAACATGAGATTCCTGCAAGCGGTGATCGACCAAGAGTGCGAGCTGAAGTGTCCAGGTGGGACAAGGAAAGCGATGGTCACCGGCCAACCCGTCTACGTACCAAACTACGGAAATCGATGGGTCACGGGAGACGCGACAATGAAGGAGCGATCAATGTGGAACGAGATGAAGAAGTTCGCGGAGGCGGTGGTGACGGATCATCTTCCAATCCTTCCAAGTTTCATTGCCGTAATGCCCAAACTTATCAAATTTGTTGTCAGATTTTTCTTTCGACTTAATTCGACGCGGGAGTATAAAGAAAAGTGGCTCTTTTCTGTGAAATCTTATTTTATGTTTTGATTTTGAATATCTCTGATTCCCTTGTCCTTCCTCTAAAGATCGTTTTGGTGATAAAGGGGACGGAGCCCACTTTGTATTCCTGCTCATTTGGCTTTTACACTGAACCAACGATTGATTTCATTTTATTATACATTTTCTCGCTATTGTATTTTCTTATTGTGTTTCCTCGATTCGTGATTGCGCTATATTCAGAATAAATATCTAAATAACCATAGCCCCGTCGGTATCCTCTCACGCACTGCACACTTTGCTTTAGAAATGAACACATTTCAGTTTTGAGGCTGCC